TGTCTGGCACTAAAATAAAAGTTGTAACAGAATCAGATGAGTGGAGGAGTTTAAGTATCTCGGGGTCTCTTTCACGAGTGAGGGAAAGCTGGAGCGTGACATCGATAGATGGATTGGTGCTGCGTCTGCAGTGATGCGGGCGTTGTACCGGTCTGTCGTGGTGAAGAGAGAGCTGAGTCAGAAGGCGAAGCTCTTGATTTACCGGTCGATCTACGTTCCTACCCTCACCTATGGTCATGAGCTTTGGGTAGAGACCGGAAGAACGAGATCACGGATACAAGCGGCCGAAATGAGTTTTCTCTGCAGGGGGTCTGGGCTCTCCCTTAGAGATAAGGTGAGAAGCTCGGTCATCCGGGAGGGGCTCGGAGTAGACCTGCTGCTCCTCGACATCAAGAGGAGCCAGTTGAGGTGGCTCGGGCATCTGGTCAGGATGCCTCCTGGACGCCTCCCTGGTGAGGTTTTCCGGGCACATCCAACCAGGAGGAGACCTAAAGGAGACCCAGGACACGTTGGAGGGACTGCTGCCCCCGCGACTGACGGACGGATCAGATTTCATTCAGTGGGTGTAATGGTGGTTTCTGTCCTCAGTTTTAACAGCAAACACATTTCTGTTTTTCTCAGCTGCAGGTGGACACCGAGTGACACACGCACGCACGCACTCACACACACACACGCACACACACACACACGCACACACACACAGCCCCCCCTCCCCGTTTGGTCCCCAGCTCCTCCTTCCTCCCTCCTCAGATGACCGGACTGGAAAATTAGCTTGTCACTTTGGCTTTGAATTGAATTGACCTGAATGTACCTCGTTGTGAGGCTTCGCCCCCCCCACCCCCACCCCCACGGCACGGGGGACATGTGAATGAGCGACCACACAGAACCCTACATGCTGATGCACGCAGACCACCACAGGCTGCAGGTTCTAGTCTGGCTGCAGAAGCTGAGGAGAGCTGGCTGTACATCATCTCAACCAGATGCACCAAAAGAGTTTGTGCAGAAACCCAAAGGAACATTCCCGACGTCCATCCTGCAGAAGGACAGCACCTCCTACTGAACACTCCCAGTAATCCCGCTCCATATCCTGACTCAGAACGTTAATCCCAGGATTATTAGGAGTGTGTGAATCATGGGATCAGGCTGATGGTTTCCTTTACCTGTGTGATTGTCTGAGCTCACCTGTGGGGATGAATCAGAAGTATGTGGTTTTGATGTGTGTAAACCATCTCTGACACGTCTAAAGGAAGTGCCTGATGTTCCTGCATCCAGAACCAGAACCGTTTCAGTTTCTTCTTAACTAAAACATGCAGTAAAGCTGTTGACTAACAGAAACAAGCGTCTACGGGCAGCTGCAGCCGAGTCCTAAATGATGTAAATGATGAACACGGCCCACTCTGAGCTCAAAACCCTCCAGTTGGTCTGATCCGTCAACGTCAAACCAAAACCGGAAGAGTCTCTAATCTGAACTTTCACCTTCCTGCAGGAACTTCTTTTGTTTTGTTTAAGATGTGCATCCTCCTGGTCTGGTGGCGCCCCCTGCTGGCTGCAGATCTTGTGATTAGTTCAGTTTGTTTCTCACCAACAGCAGAAAAAAGTGTGTGCGTGTGTGTGTGCATTTGTGTGCGCGTTTGTGTGTGTGTGTGTGTGTGTGTGCGCGTGTGTGCACGTGTGCGTTTGTGTGTGCACGTGTGTGAACGTGTGCGTGCATTTGTGTGCGCGTTTGTGTGTGTGTGTGTGTGTGTGCGTGTGTGCACGTGTGCGTTTGTGTGCGCGCGTGTGTGTGTACCTGCAGGAGTTTGTAGAAGTAGGCGTACTGCCGTGCCGTGTTCTTGTACTGGCTCAGGACGTCCTGCACCGCCTGCGTTCCCAGGAGCAGCTCCACGTCGTCCTGCTGGTAGTACAGCGGCGTGTCGTACTCCTGAGGAAGACTACGGATGTACGGCAGCCAGGAGGAGGAAGAGCTGGCTCGTTCACACAGCAGATGGAGAGCCAGCGTCACATTGCCCATGGCCTGCATGATCCGGTCCTGACTGTGCAGAGGACCTGATACAGAAGGTCAAAGGTCAGGCTCATTGGGACGGTCACAACATCAACAGACGGTATAACTGTGACAAAAGAATCCTGATGAATTTCTCTGTTTCTGGGATTTTTAAATCCCAGAAATGAGAGCGGAAGCACTAATGAGAGTCCTAACTATGTGAGCTTGATCCTCAGGCCCATCTGGACTGTTTCTACGTGGGTGCACTTATTTTTGTCTTGTAGATCCTGATGGGAATTCTAACTTCCTACCTAGGACAGAGTTCTGGGCCGATTCCACCGTCATCAGCATCTTCCTGGGAACCCACAGGAACAGCTCTTCTGCCTGCATGCACACGCAGGATTTTTTAATGCAGGTTTATCAGACTGGCTTGTTTCAGGCTTGTAGTTTGACCTCTGACCTTGATGTCTCTGGTGGCCTGCAGCCCGTAGCCCTCTGACCCGAAGTTTGTCACAGTGAAGCAGTCGCAGGAAGCCCCGTTCTCCTGAGCCCAGGTCATCAGCTCTGAGAAGTAGTCGTCCCTGCTGCCTTCAAACATCACGGACAGACCTGGGAACAGAAGGAATGTTGTTTCATCCCAACGGATACCAGACTGGAATTCTTCAGAAGTGTGATGGATATGAGAACATCCCGGTCCAGACTCACCCTTCTGCTTCTTTCTGATCTTCTCCACCAAACCTCTGATCTGGACATACTCCTCCCACTCTCTACCAGCAGAGGGCGCTGCACCGCTGCATTCTGGGAAAACACCCCCCACCCTGCTGTGAGAAGGGACATATCTACTCAGGTTACCAACCAGAACTAAAACTGCAGCAAACAGCTGGATGTGACTGGAACTGGGACGCCTCCGTCATGTCAGAAGGTCTCACAGGTAAACACACACCAGAACAAAGCAGCTGTGTGGCTCTAGCTTTGTTGTGATGTCACAGGTCTGTTATGAAAAAAGGCAGAAGGTGAGAGGTGTCATTACTCTGGAGCAGCTCGGAGATCAGGTTCAGCATCTCCTTGGGGGAGACGACGGTGCTGGCCCCGGAGCCGGACTTCTGAGTCTTCAGTCGACTCTTCTTCCCCATGATGCTGGACGAGGCTGGTAAACAACAACAACAACAACAACAACGTTAGACAGTCCTGGGTTCGGGTCAGAAACCAAACTTCTGCATCTCAGTTAGAGGAACACCTCCCTTTGATTTCTGCTTAAATTAAAACATTAATCATTTCATTTATGAATAAAAACAATGACGTCATTAACTCAGTAGCATTTCATAACTTATTTTACATCATCTTAGACCCCCATCGTGTTTCACACCGGTAACGATTCCGGCTCTTTAACCGCATTTAAGAGCACCACTCTGTCCCCACTGAAGCTCAGATAAATCAGAAACTGGGTCAGACTGGAGCTAAAGCAACAGGAAGTTTTCCAACGCAGAACCTAGCTGCTAGAACCACGTTTCCGGATCGCTTCTGATCCGAACCTCACGTTATTTCAACCTCTCGGTCCGCGGACAGACGCTACAGCCACCACGGGACAGTCGGAACCGAGGCGGGTCGGGGAACCGCCCGCAGCTCATTCATCCACTGTCAGCTAAAGCTAGCTGCTCGCTAGCCGCGGAGTCGTCAGGTGGGCAGTTACAGGCGGCTAAACCCGCTTCAACAAGCTCCAGAGCTAATTCAGCCTCGCCCCCAGACAAAGCGTCGTCCGCGGGTATGGAGGTGGTAAAAGGCCGTGGTTTAGTTGGCCTCCGGCGGCGGGTCAGACCTGTAGAAGTGACAGCAGCAGCAGCTCCTCTCCTGAGCTAGCCAAACCTGACTGAGCCGCGCCTCTGATTGGACGAGCCCCGAAGTACGCCTACAAAACAGTTGGGAGTTCTCGTCTTTTGATTGGCTGGACGGAAGGCACGAGAAACTTCGGGGTTTAGAACGTCACATTCAAGTAGGCGCAGTGAACAGAGATTTATCACTCCACCAGGAACAGTTTCTATTATATATCTAACCCAGTCTGGCAGCGAGACGACGCCATCACATGTGTAGTAGACTATTCTGTTATTTTAACCGTTAAACACGTGATTGTCACGGTTAGTTTGCTGAAATAATGCAAACAAATACAGCAAACCTGACACCAAAGCTAGTGTTCACTTTTCCGAGGTTTGTGAAGTAACCAGGATGCGTGCGCCACCTCACGCTATGCGATCAGGGAAGATCTAAAATCAGCCTTGGGTGGGTTATAACCCTAACCAATCAGAACATATCTCCAGACTTACCAGAGTCTGGATCTTCGTAGATGTTTGCTGGTGGATAAATACGACATTTAAAAAGTGGTGACTATTGATAAAGATGGATGATTATCAATCACAGTGATCAGTTTTCTGGGACCAGAAGCAGCAAACCCAGCCACCAGTAAGAAATCAGGCCAGATTTTCTCCCAGTCCGGATTTTGGATCATTAAAGACTCACATCTATATAACTAAAGGAAAGGTCAGACTTCTGCTCCAGTCAAACATCTGTTTTTTTTTTTTATTAAAAAAGGTTCTGAGAAGTTCTGAGCAGTTGTCAGATCCAAATATAGCACATCATTCATAGTCTGACCTCAGGACGCAGGTTTCATTTGCTGTCTGTTTCCAACACGCTGGAAGGAAAACTGCCGCTCCGCTCCACTTTCATCATAGACCACCAGGTGAGTTTATTCTAGGAGAACTGGTGTTTCCAGGCCTGTGGCTGAGCTCTTACCTGTGGACTCAAGTCTTGTGCGGTCCAGAAGAGCACAGATAGACCTCCGCCAGAACGAGTGAAGTAATGAATGAGTTAGTCCATGGTTAATACAGGAGCGATAATAAGATTTAGTTTAAAATGAGCTAACTTTCAAACTTTAATACGTTTTGTGACTCATTTGCCTTTATGTGACTCCGCTAGAAGGAAAGGAGGATAAATGTGTTGTTAACACTTCTAATTGCCTCTTGAAGGCGTTTTGTGTCAGATATTTTTTACATTTGAAACCAAGAAGGTAATCTGTCTGATTGTTAACCTCGAATGTTATTTGGTTTAGTCTGCTGCTGACCAGCATGGCGGACTTCCAGCAGTTTGAACCAGACCTCTATCAAACTGGGTTTTACTCCGAGGACCCGGATCACCATGTGTCCAACTACGGTAACAAGTAAGGACCACCTTTAATGTTAGGATGCAAATGCTGAAAGCATCCCAGCAGATCTCGAACACACACATCAGCTGATTAAGGTCTCCCAGAATCTTTTCTAATCATTTTACCACGAGGTTTCCAGTTCAGAAAGGTTAGAGAACCATAATTAAATGTCTGCCGTGCGTTTGGTCTGTGTGATCCTTCCGGTGTTTGCATTCTGTTCTAAGCAGCTTAGAACAGAAGTAAAGGAGCATCGTTGAATGTGACAGCTGGAAACATCACAATACCTCTGTGGTGCTAAACTGTGTTGCAACCAAATGATAAGGGTCAGAGTTCACACACACTTGATAGGCTGAGGCTCTCCACCCATAAGTCAGCAAAATAACCTGACGTCACACCTCGGCACAAAAACTAACAGATCTAACAGGAGTAATGAGGGAAAAGCCAGGAAACAGATTAAACATCCGTCTACACCCGCTGTAGGGTCACGGGGGCTGGTGCCCATCTCCAGCAGTCTCTGGGCAGACAGGCGGTCGCAACAAGCACGCACACACACACACACACACACGCGCACGCACGCACACACAATTTAGGGCAGCTGTGGCTACATTGTAGCTCATCCCCACCGGTGTGTGAATGTGTGTTTGAATGGGTGAATGACTGATTGTGTCATGGTGGTGCAGTGGTTAGCACTGTTGCCTCGCAGCACGAAGGTTGCAGGTTCAAAACTCGGCTGCGGCCTTTCTGCGTGGAGTTGCGTGTTCTCCCCATGCAGGCGTGGGTTTCCTCCGGGTGCTCCGGTTTCCCCCACAGATCACAACACGCCCTATAGGTTATAGGTAAGTTGCTTTGGATAAAAGTGTCTGTTAAATGATGAATGAGCCGCACTTGTGCAGCGCCTCTGAGAGTAAGGACTCCAAAGTGCTTTACCCTACAGTGCATCATTCACCCATTCACACACACATTCACACACTGATGGTGATGAGCTACGATGTAGCCACAGCTGCCCTGGGGCGCACTGACAGAGGCGAGGCTGCCGAGCACAGGCGCCCCCATCCCTCCGACCACCACCAGCAGGCAAGGGGGGTTAAGTGTCTTGCCCAAGGACACAACAGCAGAACTCTCTGTCTGGAGCCGGGATCGAACCTGCAACCTTCCGATAACGACAACCCGCTCAGCCTGTTGAGCTACTGCTGTCCTAATAACTAAATAAATAAACATAAACATAGACAGACCAGTCAACCGGACGGTCGTGTTCTTGGACTGTGGGAGGAAGCCGGAGAACCTGCAGAGAACCCACACCTGCACGGGGAGAACGTGTAAACTCCGCGCAGAAAGACCCCAGGCTGGGATTCAAACCCAGGACCTTCTTGCTGTAAGGCAACAGGGCCGACCACTGCACCACTGTGCAGCCCAGATGAACACATTAACAGGCAAAAATATACATAACAAAAGAAAACAAAGAAATAAACTTTTCTCAAATTTTTAATCATAACAATGATCTCATATAACGACCCTTTCTGTGCCAATAGAACAGCCTCGTGTGTGCATGAAGGAGGAGTCAGGAGCATCCATGTGACGTCACAGCCTCGTCTGTCTCATCCAGATCCAGCTAAAACAAACACTTTAGTGCTTTCTGACCCAACCACAACCCTAAACGTCTCGAGTTATGAGATGAAACAGGTCTGAAACTGTCAAACAAGACCTTTTCTGACTCGTTATGTCTCGGTACGGCTCATTATAACTTGTTGTGACTCTTTGACTCATTATAACTCTTTATGACTGAGTTTTTATGACTCGTTATGAGCCTTTATGACTCATTAACTTGTTATGACTCTTTATGACTCGTAATGACTCTTTATGCGTCTTTATGACTCATTGTAACTTGTTACGACACTTTTTGACTTGTAATGACTCATTATGCGTCTTTATGACTCATTGTAACTTGTTATGACTCTTTATGACTCGTAATGACTCTTTATGCGTCTTTATGACTCATTGTAACTTGTTACGACACTTTTTGACTTGTAATGACTCATTATGCGTCTTTATGACTCATTGTAACTTGTTATGACTCTTTATGACTTGTAATGACTCATTATGCGTCTTTATGACTCATTGTAACTTGTTATGACTCTTTATGACTCATTGTGCATCTTTGACTCATTATAACTCTTTATGACTCGTACAGTCACCAATTCTTGTCATGTGTCTATGCATGTATGTCTGATCTCAGAACTGTGTGTACTGAAACTCTAATTTCCCTCTGGGATTAATAAAGTGTCTTTGAATTGAATTTATAACTTATGACATGTTATGACTTGTTATGAGACTTCATGACTCATTATAACTTGTTACGACACTTTTTGACTTGTAATGACTCATTATGCATCTTTATGACTCATAACTTGTTATGACTCTTTTTGACTCGTAATGACTCGTTGTGACTCGTTATGATGTGATGTCATCGGGATCTATTTGTTTTTGCTTGTTGGTTCAGGGAATCACAGGATTTCCCTCAGCATCCGTGGACAGAGCAGCAGTAGTCCGGAGAGATCTACCAACCAGCAACACATCCTGGGACCTTTGGCAGCTCCGGGTCTGACGCTCCGGAGGAGGAACCTCCTCTTCTTGTTGGTGGGAGCAAACTGATTCCCGCCCCTTCCCATTTATGTTGGCTGTAAGGAAAGTGGTTAAGCTGGTTTGGATGGGGCGTGTCTAAGCGAGGACCAAAATCATTCCACTGAATGCTCTCCATCCACAAAAACCTTGTTTTTTATTTCATGGTTTGTTATCCGTGTGTCTGAAACAGGCGAGGAATAAACTCCGAACATAGCTAGCTGACCTGCCGGAGGCCGCACAAAATCCCTCCGAGGCCCCAGATGGTCCCGGAGCCGCGCTTTGGACACGCCTGATCAAAAGCACACTCCTGGCTGACCTTTGACCTTTGAAGAATAAAGCTAGATGATTTTGTTGATTCCTGTGAACTGATCCGTGCTTTTCCACCCGTCTGAATTTTCCAGAACTCGAGATCGATTTTGATCACGTTTGGCACAAAACGCTGACGGCGTTGAACCTTTGAAGCCGGCGGACGGCAGCATCCTGAATGAGCCGGATGTGGCAGGTCCGGTCCTCTTCTGCATCACGCTAGGAGGCACCTTGATGATGGTGGGTCACTGCCGGGGGTTTACTGCCCGGATGTCCGGAGACCTCTAAGCCCCTCGTGCGCCCCATCCAGGTGGGAAAAGCCCACTTTGGCTTTGTTTACGGGATCAGCGTGGTCGGCTGCCTGGGAATGTACGTCCTGCTGAGTCTGATGAGTCCCCGGAGCGTCTCCTATGGCTGTGTGTCCAGCGTCCTGCGTTACCGTCTCCTACCAGTCGTGGTTCTGTCTGCACTGGCCATCTTCTACTCTCTGCAGTAAGTCTGTCATCAGTAGAACAAGCTGAAGGTTCTAGAGCTGAGGCAGGAGAACCTCAGGATCCATCTTCATCTGATTCTTCTGCAGTGGACCTTCTGATCCATCTGATGAGTGTCTGTGTGTTCCTCCAGGGGCGTCCTGGGCTCAGCTCTGGTCCTGCTAGCCGTGTGCTGGTGCAGCTTTTCAGCCTCTAAGATCTTCACCTCCACGCTGGAGATGCAGGAGCAGCAGCTGCTGGTGTTCTACCCTGCTCCACGGACCCTTCACCCTCCTCACCGTCTCCTGGCCACCAGCTGGCTGGAGGACGTGTGAATGCATCATCTGTCTGTTGTAGCTTTAAGGTTCTTGCTCAGTTCTCTGTTCCCACAGCAGGAGGAGCTCCAACATCACAGACCTTTAGGTTCTGTCCAGAACAGAAACATTCCTGTGCTGGTTCTGCTAAAGTTCTGGTCCAAATCCTGATGTCTAAGAAAATCTATTTCCATAAATGATGAGCGCCAGACAAACACGTTCTTCTCTCGGTTAGGTTGCACCCAGCAGAACATCTACGTCATTAACGGTCTGAAGTGAAGAATCTGTACGGGTCTGAGAGGAACCCAGAACCCAGAACCCAGCATGAGATGAATGTTGACGTGAGCAGGCGCTGACTGCAGCTGCCTGACTGATCGTACGCAGACCAGTGGGGGACGGGGGGGGGGCCAGGGTGTGGACGTCCACATGGTTTGCTGTGAGATTAACACGATGGAACTTCTGAGGGCCGGGTCAGGTGGATCTGGTCCCTCCAGGGCTGCACAGGCCAAGAGTTCTGGTCTCCCAGGGAACAGGGACGGAGGCTGGGAACGTTCTGGTCTGTGTGATAAACTAACGGCTCTGGAAGATGGGGGGAGGGCACCAAAACCAAATGTGAATTAGGAACCACGTTCCCACCTCACCAGTGTGTTAAATCCAGCAAGATGAGAGCTTCCGAAATTCCCGAGACATCCGTGAGGGATTCCAGATCCTCACGAGTCAGAAAATGTCCAAAATGTTAACGAGACTACATTTGTTTAAAGGTCTAAACCTGGATCGCATCCCTTCTGAGCTCAGGAGCAACGGGAGAGGAGCGGGACAGAAAACGGAGTTGGGATTAAAATCAGAAAATCTGGATTATTGAACACAATCAGTTCAGGATCAATTAGATACGAACAAACTGTTGTAGTTTCAGCTGAAGCCGCGCACACACACACACACACACACACACACACACACACACACACACACACACACACACACACACACACACACACACACACACACACACACACACACACACACACACACACACACACTCACACACACACACACACACGCACACACGCACACACACACTCTAACAGGCAGTCAGACCTAATCCATGACAGACGACCCTCTCTGGACTCATCATATCCGTAAATGTCCAGCCAGGAATACATTCACGCGTGACCCCTGTGACCTTTGCCCTGGACGGAGAGGTCATGACCAGACGTGTTTGGGGGCGTGGCCTGATGATGATGTGTTATTCTTGAGCCTCTCAGGGTTTGGGGCGGCGAGCGCGTGGCTCTGACCTCACTCGGCTCCGTGGAGCGGAACCTTTTCATAGAGGAACTCCTGAGACCAGAATCCGAGTCCTTGATCCTGAATGGTGGGTTTGAGAGAGGAAGGAGCGCTGAAGCGACAGCGTAAACATTGGCCAGAGATTGTATTTGTGTTGGAGAGCTGGCGGCCCCCTGCAGGGGGGTGCGTGAGGGAACATGCGTGCATGTTTGACAGAACGCAGAGGGAAAGGAGAGGACAATCCCACGGTGGGATGGAGAGGAGCAGGCCCGCTCTTTCTTCTCCTCGCTGTTTGGATTGGTTAAAGCAAACAAATCCCCCCGGCCAAGCGGTAGGCTCTGGACAAGCGCTCCCCGGGCCCCCAGTCGTCCTCCTGCTACTTAGCTCTAAACTCTTCCAGATGATTTATGAGCTCTCTGCTCTCAGAGGCTCGCTGCTGCTCACCTTTCAGAGCAGAGCTGACAGAGCCGTCATTACCCAGAGTGCTCTGCTTCTACTCGCCGTTTACAGTGTGAGGATGTCATCCGGATCGGGAATGTTTGCTCAGCTTCCTGTTTCTGCAGGCTGCTGTCTTCATGTTGAGATGAAGCTCGAGCGTTTCCTGGATCCGTCTGGAGTTTCTACATTTTACTCCTCGTCACCGGGACAGTAAAGCTCCGCTGTTCTGGTTTGTGATGTCACCACACCCGCTCACGCATTCCTGTCCATCCACCATTTCACAATAAAACACACTTTATTTTCTGGCATGAGTTTTATTGTGAAGGACAGAAACATCAGTTCACCTTTTGTTTCTGCTCTTGTGGGAGCGGGAGGCGATCAGCACACGAAGCCCCGTCGGTGTGAACGGTGGTCCATCTGGAACCTGTACAGAACCCAAACCACACCCAGGGTGAAAGTGTCTCTCTCTCTCACACTCACACACACACACACACACACACACACACACACACACACACACACACACACACACACACACACACACACACACACACACACGGACACACACACACACACACACACACGGACAAGGACACACACACACACACACGGACACACGGACACACACGGACACACACACACACGGACACACACACACACGGACACGAGGAACAGGTGAGCAGGGCAGGTGTGACTACTCGTGTATTTGAATGAATTCAGTTTAACTGAGTAAAACCAGAGTTCATAATCAGCATCGGACCTGCAGGATCTGCTCCATCAGAACCAAAACGGCCCAAGGATGGGTTTACTCTCCACACACAGTTCAGACCATGGCCTTCACCTTGGACCGGAGCTGGCCACTCGGGGCTGCTGATGCATCTCAGAGGAACCACCACACAGACGCTGCGGTTTCACATGGACCTCTGGAGGAAACAAAAGTTGAGTTAAGGAGCTCATTCAGAGCCGCTGTTGCACAAGAAACACAAAACCAGGTACATCATTTACCAATGTTCTCCACTCAGAAGGTTGAAGGGTTCATTCTGGTGCACCGAGGCTGCAGAGCCAAACTAAATTTTCAGGTTGTTTTCTTCCCGCCTGCGGCAGGCTCGGTTCTGGTCCAAATCCTGTTGGGAAAGAAAGGAGCTGATAAGAGCTCCGAATCAGGGCGTGATCCTAATCACTCAGATAGACGGAACAGAGCCAATCAGGTGCGTCGACTCAGCATCAGGACGCCGCGGGAAGCGCCTGGAAAAGATTTACCTGCAGATGGAACCAGAACAAGGCTGCAGCTCCACAAGGTGGCGCCCTTTTAGGATCCCACATGGAAAACGCCAGCGTTCCCAGCAGGAGGTTATGCTCCAGGGCCGGATGGAGGGATGGGATGACCGGGAGGAAAAGGGTGTCATCTCCTGGTCCCAGCAGGGGGTGGAGCTTATTATCACAGCAGAAAATCTACTTTTACATTTCGTGCATTCGGCTTGTTCATCTCTGCCTCTAGACGACACAAACCACCTCCGAGTCGTGTTGTCCGTAACAGACGAGTCGCTGCAGAGCAAACCAAGTCATTTATTTACATTATAAATACAAACATCATTGGTACACTGGATGTAATCATGAGTTACCTTTAGTTACTATTACAGTTGAATTATTTATAACGAGGAAACAAACAAACATCTTTGAAACAACTTTTTATATTAATTTAATCATTTTTATTTTTTATGGTAAAAACTTTCAATAAACTTCCCAAATATGGAGAATCGACCAGTAAGACTTGATCGGTCCCACAGCTGCATTTATGTCTCAGATTAAAACATCACTTTTGAAATGTTGCATAACTAATGTAGGAAATGCACCAGTGGTGACCCTGCTGACGTTTAGGAGCGGTGGTCGACCTACATCCGAGTCAGAGAAGTTCAAACGCCTGAAGCAGCTGTTAGCATCTGTGTGCTGCAGGTTTGTGGGTCAGAACCAGCGAAACGCCTCAGAAACGTCGGTTGGACTCTAAACTGGTTAGTGAAGTCTGACTTCGTCCGTTCCTCCCAACAGAAGCTCTGACCGGATAAAACCTGCTTGGCTCAGAGATCGCCCACATTTACCTCCAGAAACACCGCGCTCGTTACGGACGCCGGATCCTGGAACGACTCCAGTTAGACTCAATTAGTGATCACTAAATAGAATGGAGCTGCTGCTCAACCGGCCCCAGGTGTGTGTGTGTGTGTGTGATGGAGATGATAGAGCCTCTGTGTTTTCCAGCTCTCCATAAATGATCCAGAAAATGTCCTAATGAAGGGTCCGGGTGGGGGAGTCAGGAATCCCGGAGGTTTCCGGGTGACTTGCAGAATAAATGTTTCCTCCTAATGACTGATCCCAGAGCAGCTGGTATGGCTGACTGAGGCCTAACCAACCCCTGGCATCTGACCCCCCCCAGCTCTGCTAGTGAAGCACACTGGTGGTTTTTATTATGGTCTGGAAGCTCACACACAGCCTGCAGCAGACCCAGGTCACTGGTTTCCCACCACCGCCATCACGCGTCTGGTCACTCCCAGAAGAAGAGCTAGCAGAGAGAGCGGAACATTTCAGCTGAGGCTGTTGCTCCTGAAGCCTCACTCGGCCCGGTTATCGAACATCCGACTACGACAAAAAGGAGGAGCTGAGAAAAGGATGGAGGTTCTATCTGCTGCAGCGAGAACCTTCATCTTCCTGCAACTCTCTGTCTCAAGTCGGCATTAGATCATTCCAGCTGTGAGACGGACCAAGGCACTGCATTACCTCGCTACGAGACCAGACTAGGAGGAGCGGGTCAGATTTTACGTGGTTATTCCCACCATAACTTCACTAATGTCCCACAGCTTAGAGGCCAGGTCCGGGTCCGTGGCCTTGTCCAGGAGCACCTGAGGCCGACAGTCTGCAAAGCACCTTCCCTGCACACCGTCCACGTCTGGGCTGGACGCCAGATACACCGACGTCTCCGCTCCTTCCTCTGGGCTTTTAAACAAACCCCAGGAGAGCAGGTTGAAGAGAGGCTTCGCTAAGGCCGGGATCTGCACCTGCCTCCCCAGGTTAGTCCTCACCACGCCTGGAGTCAGAGCGTTCACCGTCACGCCGCTGCCCTCCAGGCGGCGCGCCAGCTCGCTAGTGAACAGCAGGTTGGCCAGTTTGCTGCGGCTGTAGGCGAAGGCCTTGTCGTAGCTCTGCTCGCTGTTCAGGTCCTCGAAGTTGATGTCGCCATGCTTGTAGAGTTTAGAGGAGACCACCACGATGCGGCTGGGCGTCGAACGCTTCAGGAGGTCCAGAAGCAGGTGGGTGAGCAGGAAGTGGCCCAGGTGGTTAACTCCAAACTGCATCTCAAAGCCGTCCTCCGTGCGAGTGTAAGGACACTGGTAGACTCCAGCGTTGTTAATCAGGACGTCCAGCCGAGGCTCCTCCTGTCCGACAGCACAGAGTCACCTGCAGCTCATCAACCATAATAACAATAATAATAATACAACTAGTCATGGTACTAATATCAGTAATACTGCTCAGATCCTCAGATCTGACCCTCGCTGTGGAATTCATCACCAGCCAAACTCAGGAACGCTACGACTCACCATTCCAAGGCTAAACTCACCAGTCCTCAACGGTATTCAGGATTTTGCCGTGCTTTCATTTATTCTTGTGATTGTTTTGAATGTTTTATTTCAGCAACCTTGAGTTGTAGTATTATTACTAGTAACAATACTACTGACTACAAATTATTACTAGTAATATTACTACTGATGACTACAAATTATTACTAGTAATTTTGCTACTGATGACTACGAATTATTACTAGTAATATTGCTACTGATGACTACAAAGTATTACTAGTAACAATACTACTAATGACTACGAATTATTACTAGTAACATTACTACTGATGACTACGAACTATTACTAGTAACATTACTACTGATGACTACGAACTATTACTAGTAACATTACTACTGATGACTACGAACTATTACTAGTAACATTACTACTAATGACTACAAATTATTACTAGTAACAACACTACTGATGACTACAAAGTATTACTAGTAACAATACTACTAATGACTACAAATTATTACTAGTAACATTACTACTAATGACTACAAATTATTACTAGTAACATTACTACTGATGACTACAAAGTATTACTAGTAACAATACTACTAATGACTACGAATTATTACTAGTGACATTACTACTGATGACTACAAATTATTGCTAGTAACATTACTACTGATGACTACAAATTATTACTAGTAACATTACTACTGATGACTACAAATTATTACTAGTAACATTACTACTGATGACTACAAATTATTACTAGTAACATTACTACTGATGACTACGAATTATTACTAGTAACATTACTACTGATGACTACAAAGTATTACTAGTAACAATACTACTAATGACTACGAATTATTACTAGTAATATTACTACTGATGACTACAAATTATTACTAGTAACAATACTACTGATGACTACGAATTATTACCAGTAATATTACTACTGATGACTACAAATTATTACTAGTAACAATACTACTGATGACTACAAATTATTACTAGTAACAATACTACTAATGACTACAAATTATTACTAGTAACATTACTACTGATGACTACAAATTATTACTAGTAACAATACTACTGATGACTACAAATTATTACTAGTAACAATACTACTGATGACTACGAATTATTACTAGTAACATTACTACTGATGACTACGAATTATTACTAGTAACATTACCTCTGATGACTACAAAGTATTACTAGTAACAATACTACTGATGACTACGAATTATTACTAGTAACATTACTACTGATGACTACGATTTATTACTAGTAATATTACTACTGATGACTACGAATTATTACTAGTAACAATACTACTAATGACTACAAATTATTACTAGTAATATTACTACTGATGATACTGACAAGGACGCAGCCAGGCTGCAGGACAAGTCTCGAGCTGGTGTGAGATCACGTGTGTGATGAGAGGACAACAGTCATCATGTGTGTGTGATGAGAGGACAACAGTCATCATGTGTGTGTGATGAGAGGACAACAGTCATCATGTGTGTGTGTGATGAGAGGACAACAGTCATCATGTGTGTGTGTGTGATGAGAGGACAACAGTCATCATGTGTGTGTGTGTGATGAGAGGACAACAGTCATCATGTGTGTGTGTGTGATGAGAGGACAACAGTCATCATGTGTGTGTGTGTGATGAGAGGACAACAGTCATCATGTGTGTGTGTGTGATGAGAGGACAACAGTCATCATGTGTGTGTGATGAGAGGACAACAGTCATCATGTGTGTGTGTGTGATGAGAGGACAACAGTCATCATGTGTGTGTGTGTGATGAGAGGACAACAGTCATCATGTGTGTGTGTGATGAGAGGACAACAGTCATCATGTGTGTGTGTGTGATGAGAGGACAACAGTCATCATGTGTGTGTGTGTGATGAGAGGACAACAGTCATCATGTGTGTGTGATGAGAGGACAACAGTCATCATGTGTGTGTGTGAGAGGACAACAGTCATCATGTGTGTGTGATGAGAGGACAACAGTCATCATGTGTGTGTGATGAGAGGACAACAGTCATCATGTGTGTGTGATGAGAGGACAACAGTCATCATGTGTGTGTGATGAGAGGACAACAGTCATCATGTGTGTGTGATGAGAGGACAACAGTCATCATGTGTGTGTGTGATGAGAGGACAACAGTCATCATGTGTGTGTGTGATGAGAGGACAACACTCATCATGTGTGTGTGATGAGAGGACAACAGTCATCATGTGTGTGTGTGATGAGAGGACAACAGTCATCATGTGTGTGTGTGATGAGAGGACAACACTCATCATGTGTGTGTGATGAGAGGACAACAGTCATCATGTGTGTGTGATGAGAGGACAACAGTCATCATGTGTGTGTGTGATGAGAGGACAACAGTCATCATGTGTGTGTGTGTGATGAGAGGACAACAGTCATCATGTGTGTGTGTGTGATGAGAGGACAACAGTCATCATGTGTGTGTGTGATGAGAGGACAACAGTCATCATGTGTGTGTGTGATGAGAGGACAACAGTCATCATGTGTGTGTGTGATGAGAGGACAACAGTCATCATGTGTTTGTGTGATGAGAGGACAACAGTCATCATGTGTGTGTGTGATGAGAGGACAACAGTCATCATGTGTGTGTGTGATGAGAGGACAACAGTCATCATGTGTGTGTGTGATGAGAGGACAACAGTCATCATGTGTGTGTGTGATGAGAGGACAACAGTCATCATGTGTGTGTGTGTGATGAGAGGACAACAGTCATCATGTGTGTGTGTGATGAGAGGACAACAGTCATCATGTGTGTGTGTGATGAGAGGACAACAGTCATCATGTGTGTGTGTGATGAGAGGACAACAGTCATCATGTGTGTGTGTGTGATTAGAGGACAACAGTCATCATGTGTGTGTGTGTGATGAGAGGACAACAGTCATCATGTGTGTGTGTGTGATGAGAGGACAACAGTCATCATGTGTGTGTGATGAGAGGACAACAGTCATCATGTGTGTGTGTGTGATTAGAGGACAACAGTCATCATGTGTGTGTGTGTGATGAGAGGACAACAGTCATCATGTGTGTGTGTGTGATGAGAGGACAACAGTCATCATGTGTGTGTGTGATGAGAGGACAACAGTCATCATGTGTGTGTGTGTGATTAGAGGACAACAGTCATCATGTGTGTGTGTGTGATGAGAGGACAACAGTCATCATGTGTGTGTGTGATGAGAGGACAACAGTCATCATGTGTGTGTGTGATGAGAGGACAACAGTCATCATGTGTGTGTGTGATGAGAGGACAACAGTCATCATGTGTGTGTGATGAGAGGACAACAGTCATCATGTGTGTGTGTGATGAGAGGACAACAGTCATCATGTGTGTGTGATGAGAGGACAACAGTCATCATGTGTGTGTGATGAGAGGACAACAGTCATCATGTGTGTGTGATGAGAGGACAACAGTCATCATGTGTGTGTGTGATGAGAGGACAACAGTCATCATGTGTGTGTGTGATGAGAGGACAACAGTCATCATGTGTGTGTGATGAGAGGACAACAGTCATCATGTGTGTGTGATGAGAGGACAACAGTCATCATGTGTGTGTGTGATGAGAGGACAACAGTCATCATGTGTGTGTGATGAGAGGACAACAGTCATCATGTGTGTGTGATGAGAGGACAACAGTCATATTCATTTTTGGGAATTTTGTTGTATTTCCTTTTTATCTTTTATCTGTGTTCGACATGTTTATATAACGCCTGTTTAATTAACCAACATTTGTAGTGTACAGCGCCTTGTCTGGTTGTAATGCCTTGTAAATGCGCTTTATAAATAAAATTGAATTGGATTGGATGTGTGTGTGATGAGAGGACAACAGTCATCATGTGTGTGTGTGTGTGATGAGAGGACAACAGTCATCATGTGTGTGTGATGAGAGGAAAACAGTCATCATGTGTGTGTGTGATGAGAGGACAACAGTCATCATGTGTGTGTGATGAGAGGACAACAGTCATCATGTGTGTGTGTGATGAGAGGACAACAGTCATCATGTGTGTGTGATGAGAGGACAACAGTCATCATGTGTGTGTGATGAGAGGACAACAGTCATCATGTGTGTGTGATGAGAGGACAACAGTCATCATGTGTGTGTGTGATGAGAGGACAACAGTCATCATGTGTGTGTGTGATGAGAGGACAACAGTCCTCATGTGTGTGTGATGAGAGGACAACAGTCATCATGTGTGTGTGATGAGAGGACAACAGTCATCATGTGTGTGTGATGAGAGGACAACAGTCATCATGTGTGTGTGATGAGAGGACAACAGTCATCATGTGTGTGTGATGAGAAGACAACAGTCATCATGTGTGTGTGATGAGAGGACAACAGTCATCATGTGTGTGTGTGATGAGAGGACAACAGTCATCATGTGTGTGTGATGAGAGGACAACAGTCATCATGTGTGTGTGTGATGAGAGGACAACAGTCATCATGTGTGTGTGATGAGAGGACAACAGTCATCTTGTGTGTGTGATTAGAGGACAACAGTCATCATGTGTGTGTGATGAGAAGACAACAGTCATCATGTGTGTGTGATGAGAGGACAACAGTCATCATGTGTGTGTGTGATGAGAGGACAACAGTCATCATGTGTGTGTGTGATGAGAAGACAACAGTCATCATGTGTGTGTGATGAGAGGACAACAGTCATCATGTGTGTGTGTGATGAGAGGACAACAGTCATCATGTGTGTGTGTGATGAGAGGACAACAGTCATCATGTGTGTGTGTGATGAGAGGACAACAGTCATCATGTGTGTGTGTGATGAGAGGACAACAGTCATCATGTGTGTGTGTGTGATGA